AAAATAATAAACGAATACAACAATGACTAGGTACATATTATTATATTAGATTACTAGAGGATAGCTAAGTTCGCTGATTTCTTACCTAAGACGCAGAGATATATCTATTTTAAATCAAGCCTTTTAACTTTTTTTGCATAGATATTTATAAAGTGCTATAATGTAACCTAAATATGACAATTTATTAGAAGAGCATAAATTATATTTTTATATAAAAAGATTTTACTTCTCAATACATTAAATAAAAAAGAAATTGATAACTTGTTTACCTATTATTAATTAAAGGAAATTATATAGAAATTAAAAAATATGACTTACTTTGTTGTTTTAAATAAAACAACCAATGTTAGTGTATTGAAATTTGTTTGAATTTTACAAATTTTATGCTTGATTTCCAAAGTAGATATATTGATGGCTCAATCAAAAACCGCCACAAGTCAAAAAACAAAGCAATTACATTTTTGGTTCAATGGATGCAAAATATCATTACGGTTTTACTTTAAATACCACCACAAACAAAAATATCCTTTAAGATAAATCATTTAAAATGTAGCCACAAACTGTGTCTAAAACTGCCTCAATTCGAGTTATTTTCTTCAAAAACACCCAAATTTTTTACAACTATGCAACAACTCACTTTTATAATCGTAATCATTTTATTTAACAGCAAAATATCGAAGCTTTTAAATAAAATATAAAGAGTATGTCAAAAACAAAATAATGATAATAGAGACTTACAAAATTTCAAAATGAAATTTCTCGAAATAATAGTATTTTAGTTGTGGCAGTATTTGATTGAGCCATCGATATGTAGATTTTATAAAAAACAACTGGTGTTTTTTAGCAAGATATTCTATTATACTCGAGAGTATCATCTATGATTTCTCTCAACTTTTCTGCTGGGTTTTCACTTGAACTGATGGTTGCATTTCCAGGCAATCTAGCCTGTTGAAGAGAATGAACTGCTTGAATTCTGATATACCTGACATATCATGTACCTATAGATTCACTTTTTATAAAATTTCAGGTGTTATATTCTTCTTTACACTTCTGTAGTATTTACTTTTGCTTCTAAAATTCCTAGAATGTCGAAGGAAACCTAAAAAATAATATTTTTAAAATGTATTTTTAGTTCGATAAAGTATAATTACCTTTTATAAGTATTTGGTGTAAAATGTTGCCGGACATTCGGTTAAATGTTTATCTTCTGGTTTACAACGATTGATCTGCAATTCTTTGTTTTTATTGTAGTTTTTTTTTATTTGGTGTCATCGGCATCGACTGCTAAAGATACTTAATGACTGAAATAATAAATTTACATCAGGCATTGTAATCTGAAACAAAGACAATGGTTTAGAAAATAGTTATCTATTTTATAGAGGACCCTTACCAAATCTATTCGAATGTATAAATAATAATTATTTATAAAATAAATTCTGGATGTCGAAAAATAAACCATTAAAAAAGACAATTGACAAGAAAAACTGACAAGTGACAATTGACATAGAACTAAACGTTCTGAATTCAGATTTGTAATGTTTACGGTAGATAAATGCTGCGTTTGAGAATCCACATCGGATGCATTTTTTACATCTCGAGCGTTTTTTTATCCACATCGGACACATCTGTCCCATTACATTTACGTATACTGAATCACGTGATCAAAGATTTTTTACATCTCAGATGCATCCGATGTGGATTCTCAAACGCAGCATAACTAGGTAAATAACAAATAGAAGTTTTGCGAGGTTTTGATTTCCCTCAACAACTTCTCATGAACGTTGCATTTACGTTGTACAGTATTGTTATTACGTTCCCTTAATGCAACATCGCCAAAAGGCTTGGCTATGTGCTAGCTGGGTAACTTTAATAAAGATTGTGCCTGTCCTTAATATAGAGAGATATTGCAAATTTCTATAAAGCCAGCCACTAATAGTGATATCGTAATTAGAGTCAAATAAATTCTATAATAGTACCTAATATTAAAGAGGCATTAGAAATTATAATTTTAGAAGGTTTAAATGACGAGCGCATTCGAAAGCTATAAAGTCGCCACTACCTGCTGCCCTTAAACATCCACAAATAAGGACAGGCACAATCCTTAATAAAGTCAGTTTTAGAACATAAACATCTGCGCATGCTTAGATGTCAAAATAAGAGCGGCACTAATAGTGACTGACCCTAAGAGCCGATTCCACCGTTGTGTTAAACGGAGATTAAAGTGACATTGTTAATGTAAAAATGTCATTTTAAACTTCGTTTAACACAACGGTGGAATCGGTCCTAAGTGAACTTACAATGGGTCCTATGATTGAACGTTTACGTTATCCGTAACGTACATGTTAGGCCGAGTTTTAACAGAAATGAGGCAAATTTGTATGATGAAAAATTTTTTTCAACACGTTACTGTTATTTTCCGCCTGTTATCTTCTAATTTAACAGTTTTCCATCATCCGAACTTGCCTCGTTACTTTTAAAATTCGGCCTAACATGTACGTTACGGATAACGTAAACGTTCAATCATAGGACCCAATAACTCTCTTATTAAGGACAGGCACACTCTTTATTAAAGTTAGTGATCTACGCATGCTCAGATGTCAAAATAAGATCGGCAATAGTGACTGACCTTAAGTGAACTTGCAATAACTCTCTAATTTCAGGTGCGTTTTAATCATCCGCTTCTGCTTCCGGAATTGTCGGTTTAGTCGTTTTAACCTGTCAAATTAAAACGCACCTATTAAAAATATTGCGCCAAGATGTAGGCAACACGTAATAAGGGTTCAAAATGGCGGATTTTTCTATCTCCTTTTAAAAGGCACTCAGAAAGCTGCGCAGTGCGACCATTCTCCGTATAGTAAAAGAAAATCAAAGTATGTGGCATTATCCCTTGACTATTAGGCATTCCAAACAAATGAATTACCAGTGGGCAGGTTTGGTATATCTAAGGGTGGCGACATATGGTGTATTCTATCTACTTTACGTAAAATCATGAATAATGGATTACATTTAAATATTTTATGTCAAACACAATAAAAATACTATTTAAAAAACCCACCTATACATTTCTTCATAAATTGGCAGGCTTGGCGAGTACTACTTCGAATAAAAATAGCGTCCAAGTTGCAAGACTATGTCGCTACCCCCTTAAATATACAAGAATTTCCCACTGGCACCTATTGTTTGACAGGCACATACTTATAATAGGTATACGGAGCAAGAGAGACGTCCGACCTGTTTAACATAGGGGCGGCCATTTTTATACAAGATTACTAGTACATAGGTGACCAGAAATACAGCAATATGAAAACTTGGTTGCAGATGTCTAGCTCTTTCCACTTTTAAATACATAATTTTGTACAGATTTTTTAAAAGAAATAATACATTATTATATTTGAATTAAATTTTTATTCTACAACAAAAAAAAATATTTTAATGTTTAAAAATACATGTTAGGCTGATAAATAATAGGCCGACAAATAATAGATTAAATACCTAAATACTAATTTTAAATGACAAAAGTACAGTAGAGGAAGTTAAAAATATTAAAATTTCCAGGATACTTTAAAATTAAATTGATGGTTGCATATTTGTTTTATTTTAAACAATTTACTTTCTTCTTGTATAATTTCTAAAAGCTACAAATTTTTAGTGAATGGGTCGTCCTTATTGATTCTGCAGTGAATTGTACTAACAACTTAAAAGAAATTTTGTCCAATCTCTATATGGCAGATAACCACAATAAGGAACGATCTGCTTGTTTTGGAACCCTAAAATAATATAAAGACACTGCTTTCATATCCTTTATTTTTGCTAAATCTTATTACTTGTGGAATGTAACATTTGAATCTATTGGCAACAGTCTTCTTATGTTTTTGCAAGATCTTACAAGACATCTTGAATAAAGCCCAGTATAGAGAACTTATACTGGGATTAAAGTCTATTCACAAATGTTAAAATAAATAAAACGTTTATACACTTAGAAAATAATATCCACAATCAAAATATTCTAAAATAACACAAAAAAATTTAACCAAATTCACACACATTAAAATTTGACACTTTTGACAGATGGAAAGATAAATTGGTTGCATAAGTTTCAGTTTGTTTATATAAAAATGGCGGTCATTTCTATCTTCTTTTATTAAACACTCAGTAAAGATGCGCAGAGGGTTTTACGCCGTATACCTATTTAAGTATGTGTTGACAGGTCGTTGGAATGCCTAATTCATGTTCACTAATACACTGACGTTTAATCAAAATTTATGTGAAACGTCAAAGTACGCAAGTGACAGTCAAAGCTATCTAGATATCTAGTGAAAAACTACAAAATCTGGCTAATCCTTCTTCCATGATCGGGCTGTTATGAGTTTAGCAGCCCATGGGACGATATACGTTACTTTCGGTCATATTTTTAGGGTTGATATGATTCATTTTCACATATGGTAGGCGAAAAAATATTTATTGTGCCACTTCTGTCGCTAAGGTGGCAAAGGGAATATTCTCGGCCTATTAATTAAAATTTTGTTTAAATTACTCTTTTGTGACATCATGGCGTAATTCCGTTTTATAGTAGGTAATTTTTCTATTTATTTCTGTTATTTATGATTTTAGAAGAAAATTATTTTAATAAGAGTTATTTGTGCATGATGTAATTCTTTATAATTTTTTGTTCTATACCTATACCTCTACATATGATTTCCCTAAAATCGAACGCAATGGAGAAATTTAGAGAAAAGTGCAAAATTTAAATTTTTTTGGCAATGAAAATATGAAAAGCTGTTTTGAATAATTTTTATCTCTAATTAATATTCCAAATAATTTTTTAATTCGATGGGTCGTATTTAGTATTTGTGATGCATAATTTTTTTTGGGAGGTAGGTAGTTTAATTGTGGAACTTGCTACGTTTCGATTTTGATAAACTTTAAACTATTTCATACATCCTATTAGTATTAAAAAATAAACATTTTAATTACATTTTATTTACAACTTAAAAAAAATCCTAAACATTACAAGGAAGTTGTTCATAATTTAGACACATTCCTAAATTATCTTCTGGTGATACTTCCCTCAAATTGTCACCAAAGTGGACTCCAATAACAAATGGACTGATATTACTTTCAATTCGACAGGGTCCTTCTTCCATGGGACAAAGACTAGGACCGCAGTGGATCACGTCACAAATTCCTTGAATCATTTCTTCATCTTCAGACTAAAAACAAATACATTGTTCATTGTTGATCTTTTAAAGATGGATGATTTTTTATTGATACAACGATCAAAGTTCAAAGATTTTTTAACTGAATTAAAAAAAAAAGTAGGAAGAGATTCTCAATTCGTCAAATTTTTTTTTTATTTTCCTAATTAACGTCCAGCCATAATTCTTTTTACCACGTTTGTCCGATTTTCTTTTTTTTTTTAGAAAGGCGGGGTACCTCAGGGGCGGTCCCATATAAATTTGGTCAAGATCCGATGATGGAATCTATGACAAAATCACTAAACTCTTCAATTTTGGAGTCATTTTTTTAAAATTACTTTTATTAACAACACTGGTTCAAATACTTTTATCGTGACTTACAATTAATAATAAATCATCAGATTCACAAGGGACTGTAATTCTATCATTACACACTTCCATCTGCCGATCTTCGACGATATTACCGCTATCTCCAGAACCATCGATAGTGTTATCATCATCATCATCTGTATTAGGACTGATTCTGAAAGCATTTTCGTGGCATGGTTCGTAACTTATGCTACACATCTCTTCTTCTTGACGTATACAAATATTGTAATCTTGATTGGCAAGATGTCTTCCGTTATCAGCGAAATTCATTGTTTGGATTATCCCTGTTGTACCTTCAAAATATTGTAAGCAACCAGCCGGAGCTCTTTGAGAAAATGGTACTTGGGTAATTCTTATTTCCCAAAGTCTAGTTACAGCTTTTCTACTCATGTTTATGCTGATTGTTATGTGGTCATTTGTATTATCGACATCAAAATAAACTAAAAAAAAATATGAAATTTAAATTGCTTTAAATTAGATGTTTGTAAGAATCAATGCACACTACATATTAGTATTACTGGTTGCATAACTATTAGTCCCAATAACTTGGTAATTTGGAATATTTTTTTTACTTCATGTACCTATAACCAGTAAAAGCATTGTATAAATATATCGTAAAAGGAAATCATTAGTTTTAAGACCTCAAGTATTCAACGGATATTTACGTTTTGGGGTCCCCAGAATTTAGAAATCTTCGTGAAAGAAATATTTTTAAGAAAATACAATTATTTTACCATGATATTTTTATGTCATGTATTAGTAGTAATGTAGTTTTGGTATGATAGGTAGATACACTGCGACTATGAAGACTAGTCTTCATAACTGCGATCAAAAATATTTATTGTGCCACTTCTGTCGCTAAGGTGGCAAGGGAATAGTCTCGACATCTTAATAATCCTTCCAGACCTATCTTCCCAAAGAAGTTTAGGATTTGGAATGGTTCTAAGCTGGACAAATCGCTTTATCCTATCTGGCATGATCCCAAATATAGAGTCCTATAGTGCTATACATTTCGTCATAATGTTATTAAAGGTTTCATCTCCACACAGAAGCAGCACTCACTACCTTCTAATAGTCCAAGTATACTAAGGTTTTCGTTAAATTAGCAATACTTGTTAAGAATCCCGTTACTGTGCGTAACTTGTTTTTGTTCAGAAAGATGTTGTGTTATGTTGGGAATGAGGTCTAAAAGATCTATTGTGCCCTCTTCTATCGCTAATGCATCAAGGAAACGTCCTGATGCCTATAACGAAACTTCCAATCCTATCTTCTCAAGGAAGGGTAGGATTTGTAGTGGCTTTAATTTAGGTAGATCGCCCTCTTCTATTTGATGTGCTCATTCAGTGTCCTATGATTCTAGAGTGCTACACATTCAGTCAAAATGAGAATAGAGGTTTCGTCTTCCTGCTCACCGAATCTGCACACACTATCTTCTACTACTCTAAGTTTATTAAGATGTCCTTTGAGTCGTCAATGCCTAGTAATGACCAGTGGTGCATCCAGAGTTTAAGTCTGGGGGTAGTGGTAATAAAGTTTAAGTATAGGGGAATATTAATATTTAAGATTTTATTTTTGATAATAGTACGTTTTAGTACCTATAAAAAGTTAGGATTAAATGTTCTTGGAGCGTAATTACCTCTACTACTCCCTGGTAAGGACCACTGTTACAATGCGTAGCCTGTTCTTGCTCAGGCAGATATAGCCGATACAGGCTTCCGATCTTTTCTGGTTATAGTTACCCGGAAGTATCTTAGCCTGTCTTAGGGGCCTATTCAGTAATTTCTCGTTTATGGACGATATCGTTAAGCTATCGAAAGTTCAATCAACGACTTTTATAACGTTAATTTTTGAAACTCTATTAAATAACAAAGTCGTTACGTTGTTTCTAGCTTGTTTCTAGTTACCAAATCTGAACGATGATTTCTATATAGCAAGTAGGTGATAATTAGGCATTCCAAACAAATGAATTGCCAGTGGGAAGGTTTGGTATATCTAAGTGTTGCGACATACAATGTATTCTATCTACAATACGAAAAATCAAGAATAAAGGATTACATTTATATATTTTAGGTCGAACACAATAAAAATATTCTTTAAAAAAATCGCTTTAACATTTTTTCATAAATAGACAGACTTGGCGACTACTATTTCGAATAAAAATAACGTCCAAGATGCAAGACTATGTCGCTACTTCCTTGGATATACGAGACCTTCCCACTGGCAGCTATTGTTTGACAGGTCGTTGGAATGTTTAATAGAGTGTTTTGTGATTTAAGAACGTACGTTGATGACATTTGATATTTGACATTTTTTGACACTTAAAATAAAAATTCTACCAGTATATTCATCTTGTTCTTCACAATATATTTGTTCTTAACCTCCAACACGATCAGAGAAGTGTACTGCGAGATCGAGATGCGTACAAGAAGAAAAGAAAATGACTAGGGAGAAATCTAAATACTAATTGAAGAAGTGATGTATCGCCTCTAATGTTTACCGCATCTATTTCTTGCGGTCCATTTGCTGGTCATATTGTATGTAGGGTTTATATAAATGAGTATGAATATATTAAAAAAAATTAATAACTCCTATTCATAAGAATACAAAAAACAGAGCGAAACCAAAGTCGATACTGTCAATCCTGATTATCTTTTTTGTTGGTGTCATCGGCTTTGACAACTCAGGCACAGTGTATAGCCACAGTTTATAGCGTAAAAGAATCAGTTCGCTCACTCTGCGTCGGCACTTTTGATCTCAATGTTCCAGTTTATACATTGCGCAACTCGGATTTGTATCCCTGGCGCATACATAATCAAAGCCCACTGTAAATTTTTACCGCCATCTGATAATGAAATAAAATATACCCCAAAAGCTTGTAAAAACATTGTACTTTATCGAATGGCACCTGTGACAATCCCAATCCTAAGCAGTGTTTAAAAAATAGTATATTATGCAACGATCATGTAATGATGGTTATTAATACACGAGCATTAACCGGGATACGAAACGAGCCAAAGGCGAGTTTCGTATGGTTTATGCGAGTGTATTAATAACCATTACATGAGAGTTGCATACGCTATTTTTTCTACACCCGATAAATAATCAAGAACTATAAATATTATATTCATATTGGTATTGAACACAATAACAATAATTACTCGTGTATTTCTATAAAAAATTCTACAAAATTGTAATTAATGGTATTACTTCGGGTATTGGTATTTCCCTAGATTTTTGCGGCAAAATATTTTGTACTGTATTTTCTGCTTTCTCCGATATGTGTGGAGGAGTCTTCTATATCGCTGATATCAGACATTTTAATATTATAATTAACGAAGTTTAGTTATCTACCAAAATTTAATACGTTTTGACAACTAAAACAAATACATAGGAACCTAGGACAAACGTCAAACAGCATGCTTGATTGAAAAATTGTAGGTTTCTATTGATTAAAAATCTGTATCGTAATGAAAAATCTGTATCGTAATGAAAAATCTGTATCGTAATGAAAAATCTGTATCGTAATGAAAAATCTGTATCATAATGGGTATCATTATGAAACGGATTATGGGCATATAAGTGCATTATTATAATACGGGTGTAGAAAAAATATATTTTATATTAAAAAAATCACATAAGGCATGACAGCGCTAATTTTGTTTGCCCTTAAAGTTTTCCAGATAATAACATATTCAAATATATCTTAATATATATATCGTTAACGGGAAACATTTGTTTCCTCTTAACATCGCACAAAAACATCTACACACGATTAGTAGGTAAAAATCATTAAAAATATTAATTTTTGCTGATTTAAGAATTTATTTGTATGCCTATTGTTGTGATTCTTTTTACAGGTTGTCATAGAAACGACAAAAAAACTAATATGATTATGATTTAAAAGAATTGTCTAACAACAGTTTATAATTATTATTGAATATCTCTGCCAAAGTTAGATAAAAATATTAATAATTCAGGTTTAAAAGCTAGGTTCACAATGAATTAGGATTGTAATTTTCAGAGAAAACACCATTATTGCTGTCATGTCTTATGTAATTTTTTGAATATAAAATAATTTTTTTTTACCATTTTGCTCAGGATTGCAGATTGACACAGGTACAATTTGGTAAAGTACAATGTTGTTACATGTCTTTGGAGCATATTTCATTTTGTTATCAGATGGCGGTCGTAATTTGCAGTGGGCTCTCTCACTATTACCAATTAAGCATTCCAACGACCTGTCAAACAATAGCTGTCAGTGAGAAGGTCTGGTATATCTAAGAGGGTAGAGACATAGTCTTGCATCTTGAACGTGTTTTTTTTATTCGAAATAATAGTCACAAAGCCTGCCAATTTATGAAAAAATGTATCTTATTTTTATTGTGTTTGACATAAAATATTTAAATGTAATCCATTCATGATTTTACGTATTGTAAACAGAATATATCGTATGTCGCAACCCTTGAATATATCAAAACTTCCCACTGGCAGTTCATTTGTTTGGAATGCCTAATACAATATATGACAACCGCCTATATTCAAACAGCAGTCTTTTGCGCATCCTGAATTTGTATCCCTAGAGTGGATGTTATTTTGGAACATCCCATTGGTCCGAGTGAGCGAACTGATTCTTTTAAGCTATAAACTGTGGTATAGCTAAAAAATCAGTTAGCTCACTGGTAACAATTGGATGTTCCAATTATAGGGAGACGTCACTTTAAGCAGAAGGCGCTCGATACGTTTCCATTGCTTCAAGTGAACATGGACTCTACCTCACTAAGATATTTTCTTTAAGCCATATAAAGTTATAACAGAACAAATAGAAGATGTCTTTGACTCAGAAAATGGAGTACACTTCAGATCCTTAAATCTAAACATAAAATGGGCTGTGAGCAATACTGCCAGTGTAATTCTAATAGAGCTCACGGGGATTCCCATAGCAGTAAAAGAAGTTACCACAAACAATATCGCTGGAAGAAATATACTTATCTATACAGATAGCAGATAGAAGATAAGCACTACTCAACCTAGACATACTATAAATTTACTTAGGGTCAGTACTGGAATGTCACGAAGCTTTGGCCGAAGTATCAAGTATCAACAATGTGGTCTCACCTTAATACGGATCAAAGGTCACGCTACATCGAAAGCTAACCGTATTGCTGATTAACTAGCCAAGAAGGCAGCCAACCAAATACTTTTGGACATGGCCCTTCCATTTCACCGACGAAATACTTGACTATGACTAGACATAATCTGTACCTGGTCACAGGCATTCTGACTGCCCATTGCCAACATAGCATGAAGCTGTCAGAATCCACACTCTACAGGGGGTGCAAACAATTGGTAGGATTCCCCACTCGACCATTCACGGTTGGGTACTAATTAACAGTGCTCTTCCCAAAGTGGCACCGGAAAACAGTAATAAAGCCTACACAGAACACGAGGCTAATAACCGTAGCAGTTGATGCCGGTGACACAAAAAAAAGAAGAGACCATCGAGCATATCTTCTACGATTTCCCGTCGCTCTCATTTCTTAGAAGATTTGTATTTAATGAGAATTAGACGATATAAGAGAAGCACCTATTGGCGACGATGTCAACTACATCAAATATGTAGGATGGCTTACGAGCTAGTAGGTGCCTATCAATTTAGAAGGATGCACAGTGGGCATTAGTATCGTAAAGTAACCCAAAAAGTTAAATTTTTAAATATTTTGATGTCTCACTATTTAAGAATGACATGATTAACGACTGTCAAATTTGGACAGTTAAAAAAATCCGTGTCGTAATAATTTTCTGGAACCCTTTTTATTAAAATATTGATTTGCTTTAAATGTATCAGAATTTAAAGTTATAAACCTTCGTAGAAGAACTATTATATATAAATTACAATTAATTTACCATGTTGTCCGCTGTTAAAACCACACAAAATGATGTCCCCACTATTTGTGCCAGCTGTTAATAGAAAAATGTCCTCTTCGCAAACCCCAGTCTGTCTGTTTGGTTGACCCTAGAAATAGTTTATAAATAGTTTATAAAGTGTGTATAAAATAAATGAAGTAGACATACCAAATTAAAATGTATGAAATCAAATCTGAGTTGAGCGATTTCATCATGGACTTTCCTAACTGTCAGTAAGCATGATGTCATTCCTTTGGTCAGATCTGGGAAGTCTGGGCTTACGAAATACGTCAAATTGTTTTTGATTTCTTGATTGCAAGTAGAGGTGACTGAAAAAGGCGGAACATATGACACCTAACAAAAATTTATATTAGTTTGTTAAAACTTACATACGCAGCACACCCCAAATCCATGGGCACAAAATCCGTATGATTTTCCGCCCTCCATTCTACATTCGTATGTGTTCATACAAATGCCTGAAACATTTTGTTTTACAATAATATTGTCAGTATCTTAAATAAATTAAAATGTTACCCTTGCGTCGACCATCATTCGCATTGCATTCTTCTTCTACAGGAACAGGAAAAAAATTCAGAACTAAAAAAAAAAAAAAAAAAAAAAAAAATGTAATACAGATGCAGCAAAAAATTCTTAGAAAGTTACAGACGTACACGTACGCAGATCTCCGTGGTTAATAATAAACTAATATTTCCTTCGTTTTAAATACCTTTACAATGTTTCAATCGGTATATGCCACCGATCATCTTCAGGAGAACTAAACACATTTTGATTTTTATTTTGTTTATTAGGATTTTATATCTCTCTGGTATATTTTAATGATGTACCTACTATTGATTTATCTTAGAGAAGCCATATATATAGAAGAAAATCTATGCCGTTCAATTTCTTTGTAAGTCCTGTGAAAATCAACAACGCTCATTCTGTAAAGTGATACTGATGATTAGTTTGGATTGCGCACTTTTTGCATTCTATTTACTCCTAAAGTACCAAAGAGCGTTCGGGAAAAGAATGAGATAAAATAAAAGTTCTTGTAGGGGACACTTTTATGTGTGTAATTACAACTTTTTCGTTTAATCTTATCTTGTAGAACATGGAAATACGTTGCTGTAGTCCCTGCAATGGTGGAGCGATCGACGAAGACGTCTTAAAAAGTCGTTGTAGAAAGTTACCAAGCACTTTTTATAAAAGGCTTCAATTACCAATTATATTATCGATCTCTGCATTTTAAAAATGTTTGCAAGCACTGTGCTTGAAGCACTTTTTCAAGCACATTCGAGTCAATTACTGCCCTGCTCTGATCATAGTTTTTTTTTATCGGTGTCTTTGGCTTCGACAACTTAGGTCATTAGCCTCGTGTTCTATGTAGGTTATAAATTGTATTAGAAGTCTAATACTCCATAGTACAGGAGTGCTAGTACTCTAATATTCCTGCACCCCTACAGACAGATCTTGTTACTCTTTTCCAGCGCCACTTTAGGAACAGTACTGTTGATTGGAATCCAACAGGGCACTGCCCAGATAACAATTATACATTCTTAGCATATTCTTAGTATATACTTTTTAAGAATACGCAAATGCTGAGAATATACTGTATTTGCATTTGGTACATTCTCAGAATATGCTAAGCATATGCTATGTGACGTTGTTTATACGTGCTATGCAGATACTGAGAATGTACTTCAAGTATGTGTACAATATGCAACAAGGTATCTACTTTATAATCGTTCTAAGTATATGCTAAGTATTTAAATATAGAATATGCTAGGCATATACTAGACACCTTAATACAGGATGTTTAATTAATATTGAACATTAAAGAATAAGTGTATATAATGAGTCTTTATTTCAAAGAATTCATACTTATTTTTATTACAAATACTATCTTTGGCCTTAACCAATCAATATTTTATTGTATCAATGGCTTGAGTTTCATTTGCTTGATTCCATTGGATCTTCATTGAACCTAAAAAATAAAAAAATTAACAAACTTGATACATATACAAATTAAGTGTACATAGCTAATGGAATATTTTAAATAGTTTTGTCGAACATAAAACATTAAAAATTGTACATGGCATTCCACTAACAAAAACAAGAGTTACATAAATGATTATGTTTACTGAAAGTTTAAATATATTTTTGTTAATTACTTACTGCCATTTTGTAGTTTTCGTCCTCCTTTAACTAAGCTAAAGCTAAAGCTAACTTTTCTAGTTCTTCCAGGTCAATATCTGGCATTAAAGGATTTTTTTCATAGAAAGTGTGTATGTAATTCTGGTAACACTGTATTTTCGTTTCAATCCACCATTATTATTAACTATATTAATAAGTTCACACTGGCAATTCATATTTGGGATATCCTGTATTTTAACGTCACTTATAGGTCCTAAAAACTATAAATATAGTAAAATTTGTTTATTTTCATATAGAACATACGATGCAATTAATTTTTATTAATTGACTTACCTCTTACAAACGAGATCAAAAAAATTTTGTAGGAATTGTATATATATATATATAAATGTGTGTGTGTGTGTGGGGGGGGGGGGGGGGGGGGGGGGGGGGTGGGGAGGGGGGGGGGGTGTTAGAGCCAGACTAATAGATGCAGAGAAATGTGAGAAGATATTAGATCAAATTGAGTACCAAAATAATATATACAATAAACATGCAAAAAGTTTACCAAAATTAAACATAGGTGACATAGTCAGAATTCAGGACCTGATTACCAAACTTTGGAATACTATTGGAGAAATTATTGAAGTAGGAAGATATAGAGACTAGGATTAAATCAGCTAACGGAAGAGAAATGAAGAGGAATAGAAATTTTTTAATACAAATTAAAAAAGGAGATGTAGTAGAAGAAATTTAGGAAGGGGAGATGTGATACACGTATACATTTATTATTGCTCTGTATTTGTATAATAGGTTAAAAGAGACATCATGCGTTAAGTTGTTGATATGAGCGTCGTTTGGGGGGCAAGGGGGGTGGCAGTTGCCCCCCTGGCTTTTACGACTTAATCAACAACGCGTAAGATATGCATTACGAATAACAATCTCATAGAAATAATAATATTCAGGCTAATATAGTTGAAGAATATTATAGGTTGAATATATTTATTGCATATCTGGATTCCCTTACGTCGCTTATATCACGCTTTTCCGAAGACTCTGTTAGTTTTTCCTTAAGCCTGTTACATCCCAAAAACTAAAAAAAAATTTTTTTTCACTATCGATTAGAAAATGAAAGTAGTGGAAAAATTTAGAATCGACAATTTTGAATACCAAACTGGAGTACGAAAGAGCTTTATGCACACAATGAGCTCTCCATTAATGATATAGCGTCTCCAAACATTGTGAATTTTATCCAGACATACAAAGTGGTTTAAAAAATATGTATGGCTCTTCCACCAACGACAGAGTTAATCGAAAGAACGTTTAGCACGCTAAGTTAAAACATGGCTGCGATCTATTTGATCAGTGCGAAGTCATGGTAGGAGAAGCAAAAGCAATACTAGAGCAAGCTGCGGATAATTCAATTTTGGCGTATCAAATACACGTATACATTTTACTTTTAACTAAAAAAATAGGTTAAAAACAATAAAATGAGCTACCGGAATTCCTATGTTGCAAATTATACTAGCAAAAAAAACTGTGAATTATATAAATGTTCAGTAGCAAAATCGAAATTAAATCAAAGAAATAAATAGACAGCTATATAATAAGAGGAAAAAAAAACCTTCATTTTTATAATAATAACAGTAATACTGGAAATAATAGACATCAGAGGGGGGTGGGTTGGCTCAGTGGTTAGAGTCATGACTTTGAGATCGGAAGGTCTCAGGATCGAATCCCACCGTTGGCCGGGATTTTTTCATTTAATTTAATTATTTAAAATTAATTCTGATGCCTTGGTAGGATTCCCCACTCGACCATTCACTGTTGGGTTCTAATTAACAGTGCTGTTCCTAAAGTGGCGCTGGGAAACAGTAACAAAGCCTACACAGAACACGAGGCTAATGGCCGTAGTAGTCGAAGCCGATGACACCAAATTAAAAAAAAAAAAAAATAGACATCAGAAAAGGTTTTAAATAAACAATAAATTATTATTTTATGATATTCTTCAACATCCCTTAAATTTTAAATGTTTAGCAAATGATTAGATTTCTGCCTTTGATTATTGTATGTGGCTGAAATGCAATCTTGTGACTTATTGATAGGAAACCAGTTTTAATCATTAATTTTTATGGGTTCTTTCCAACTAAAAATGAAGAAAATATAAATTAAAATCACAAATATACTAATTATTTTTGTTAATACGTTTTAATTCTACGTTATTATATAATGGTACTTGGACATTATTTAACCTATTCCTAAATAACGTATTAGGCTTAGGCAAGATCTCATACATTTTCTCGCAAATACCTGCTTATGTTTTATTATTGATTTTTATTGACTATACTACTTTTTACTTTCCTATCTGTATACAGATATAAGGAAAGTATAGGAATCATGATTTTTTTCGACCTCGAGTTTTCGACGGATTTTTACGTTTTGGGGTCCCCTGAATCCGTTTTGACTATTTTCGCGATGATGTGTGTGTGTGTGTGTGTGTGTGTGTATGTGTGTGTGTGTGTGTGTGTGTGTATGTGTGTGTGTGTGTGTGTGTGTGTGTGTGTGTGTGTGTGTGTGTGTGTGTGTGTGTGTGTGTGTGTGTGTGTGTGTGTGTGTGTGTCTAGGTCGCATAACTCATGAACCGATACACAGAAAAACACCAAATTTTAAACTTAAGCTTTATTCCAGCGTCTAATGAACTGATTAGATTTTAGGCAGAGTCGAAATATCTGGGGGGGTACTTTATGGGTGGTCATTTTTATATTTTATGAAATATATCTGTTATTTACGTTTGGAGAAGAAAATTCTTCAAATAAAAGTTACTTCTAATATAATTATCTATAATTTTTTTTCTATACAAAATTTTTCTAAAATGGTCCGTATTCGAGAAATTTGACAAAATGTAAAAAAAATATTTTTTTATAAAAATTGTTTAAGTAAAAGTTGTTTGTAATATAATTCTATATAATTTTCATTCTATACATAATTTCTCTAAAATGGACCGTATTCGAGATATTTGAGAAAATGTGTAAATTTCGAATTTTGAAGAAAACTCAAAAACGGATAAAGAAAATAACATTAAATTTTAAACTTAAGGTTTATTTCGGCCTGAAGTGAAATGATTAGATTTTGGACAAAGTCGGAACATCTAGGGGGGTACTTTATGGGAGGCCGTTTTTATATTTTATGGAATATATCTGTTATTTATGTTTGTAGAAGAAAATTGTTCAAATAAAAGTTACTTCTAATATTATTATCTATAATTTTTGTTTTATGTTAAAATTTCCTGAAATGGTCCGTATCCGAGAAATTTGACAAAATGTGCAAAATTCTGATTTTTATGAAAGTTGTTTGCGATATCGATCTCTATAATTTTTGTTTATACATGATTTTTCTAAAATGGACCGTAATGGAAAAGTGCTAAATTTTAATTTTTCAGTATTTTCGTTTTCAATGAATATCTATAGAAAAATGTTTCGAGGTAGATGTATGTGGACAATGTATATATTTAGTTTATCCTCTAAACATTTATAGAGATGCTGCAATAGGTTGTACAAAATAACAGGAAAAAGTCTATAAAAACTAGATAGGAAAGTCATGTGTTGGACACATCAGATTTTTTTAGCTGAAGTAATAAAAATATATAATAATA